GAAACTTTTCCTGAAATGGGGCAGAACTGCTTGGTTGTCTTTTCCATGTAACTTAAGCATAGTAATATAAATAAAGTAATAGTTGGATGTTTTTGGTCCTGTGTTGCTTTTAAAAACACCTTCTAAAAGAAGAGCGGAGTATTTGATAAGTATTTTCATGGTAGTGTTTCTTTTCCTCTCTCGAGCTAAATTGACTGTGTAGAAGAGATTACTGTGCTTAAATTAAAGCCTACTGTTTAAACCCATAGTACTGCATTTAGAAAAGAGTTGAACAGAATGTCAGTGTGCGTTCATGCAGAAAGCATTTCATCTGCATCTGTTTTAAAAGAAGGGAAAATGAAGGAGCCTATCTAAAAATGCTTTGCAAAGCATTTTCAGCCTATCCTCAATTTAGTGTTGATTTTGATAAGTCTGTAGAACCTAATAGTTTCATCAAAGGACTAGATCTGTCATTAGCATTATTTTCTCAGATCTTCCCTCCGAAGTTCAGCTATTGAAATTAAAACTGTACTTGGTCCCTTCAGGGATCAAATTTGACTCAGGGTGTTATTTTAGCCCCAAACGTACAACATTATGAAGTATTAAAATATAAATGTTTCTTTATCCAAACTATTTCTAGGTATTCTAGTATTTGTTTCTGGTGGAATAAATGACATTAAAATTGGCTAATTATTTAAATGTATGAATGGATGTTTGAGTGCTCAATCTCTAGGTCTTTGTCTATAAAGGATGTTTGCCTCAACTAGCAAAATCTTTCATTGATATTAGAAGTGACGAGTACAGTTAAGATTAAGTTTCTCTTCTTTGCTTCCCGGCTCTTGGTTAGAGGCATAGGTGTCTGATTAAGTAGGTGTATAATACTGCATTTGAGATAAGTGGACACAAATGATCTTTCCTTCACCATGGAGTAAATCTTCAAGCTTTAAGAGACAGCTTTCATTCCCATTCATTTCCATACTGGCCTTTGATTATATGCAGATCCCTGGTAGCATGCCTTACCTGCAGCACTATGTGCATTCGCTGTCACAATAAAGTATATTTTGTCTTGCATTGGTTTTGCAAAACTACTTATTTCCCACTGATCCTTGTCTTAGTTTTTTTTTTTTTTTTTTAAGATTTTATTTATTTATTTGAGAGAATGAGATAGAGAGAGAGAGCATGAGAGGGGGGAGGGTCAGAGGGAGAAGCAGACTCCCCGCTGAGCAGGGAGCCCGATGCGGGACTCGATCCCGGGACTCCGGGATCATGACCTGAGCCGAAGGCAGTTGCTTAACCAACTGAGCCACCCAGGCGCCCTCCTTGTCTTAGTTTTAACTTAGTTTTAATAACATCTTATCTTAGTTTTAATGTGAACACCTATGTAATACCTTTGAGTAGCTATGGCTTTCTTCAGTTAGTGATAAGGTGATATTCTGGCTTAGTTAATTTAACCTAATCTACACCAGGAGATACTGAATTTACCAGTAGTAACTTCTGTGTGATGATTTTTGCCTCAGACACTGACAAACTACAGTTTAGTATATATGAACAAAAAAATGTCCTATCACTAGGTTAACTTAGGGAACTGGCAGGTACCACAAACAACAAGGTCCTCTGTGCCTTTTAAAAACTTAATTTGCAAAACTGGAAAAAAAAAAAAGCAACATGAACGATGAAGTCAGATTGGATTGTTTATTGAAAAATGAACACTGTTCACTGGAGATGGGAAAGCACTTAATGGGAATGATTCTGCTTTGGGATGAAGAGGTTGACCACATACAGGGGAGAGTATACCACAAGATAAGCGGATTACTGGGGGTTGTACAGGTAAAGCTTTAATCTTTGAAGACTTCAAAACCCTCTTCATTTTAGATGACAGTGGCCAACTTTAAGTTGTTTTGGTTTTAAACATGAGTGCTTTTATTTAAAGAGAACCTAAAGTGAGTATTTTGGGGATTAAGCGTTTGTTAGTAATTACTGTAACAATTTAAGTTACCCTTGTAAATGGCTACTTCTGGATTGGAGGAGAAAAATAGCATATCTATTTTCTAAATTTATTTATTCATAAAAGTCTTATGGGATGGCCCTATACCCCAGGCCGAAATCAGTCCGCAGGTAGTTTGGATTCAGCAGTATTGGGAAACTACCAGTTGTAAAAGATTCAGAGACATGTTTATGATGGTTCATTTCCACACCAGTTATAAAAATATCTCACAGTTTAGACATCCACTATTGCATGCCTGTTTTTAACACCAACTTCCCACCAGGAGCCATATAAAACCTTCTAGGGAAGGAAGGTGTGAATTGGGAGTAGAGCGAGATTAAACTGAAAAACTCCTGTTAGGCTAGCACTTTGCACTAATATGAGAATTCTAGAAATAAAGTGGAACTAAAAGGAAAAATTAGGATGCATACCCATCTAAAATTGAGTATGAATTGCATGGCTTCTTTATTTTAGAATAGTGGGGCTTAACAAATTGAAACCTATTATGGCATAAAATATACATTCCAAAGCACCATTAAGGGTTTTGTGATCCTGGACAACACTCAACATATTTAGGCTTTTAATATTTGTAATCTGACCACCTGGGAGACTTGTTGAACAGTGAATTATGCCTCTCCCAATACTGGATTGGTCTCTGAGGTGGAGCCAAGAAATCCAGATTTTTTTACCCAAATGCAAACATAACTTATCTGCAAATACATGACCATCACTATTGAAAGGGTTATTCAAACTCAATACAGTAGTCTCCCCTTATCCATGGTCTCCGTTTCTGAGATTTCAGTCACCTGTGGGTCAGGAAGCAGATGATCCTCCTGACATACGGTCAGAGGTCAGGAGTAGCCTGACCTACATCAAAATGCCTACGTCATCCACCTCACTTCCTCTAGTCACGTTGGTATTTTATCATTTCACATCATTACAGGAAGAGGAAGGGTGAGAACAGTACAATATATTTTGAGAGAAACCATATTCACATAACTTTCGTTACAGTATCTTAAAATTGTTCTATTTTATTGTTAATCTCTTACTGGGCCTAATTTATAAATTATAGGAAAAAGCAATATGTATAGGGTTTGGTACTACCCGCACTTTCAGGCATCAACTGGGGCCTTGGATGTATTCCCTGCAGGTAAGGGTGCTAATGCAGTGTATGGTTTATGGTATGTTACCACCTGGTACAAACAGGTATTTCTCAAAAAGAGGCCAAAAGACTTAGAAGGATGAACAAGAAAAAAAAGGATTAATATGATGTCCACCTGCTTAAAAACAGTGATCCTTAAAAGTGAGTAAATACAACAGTTAGATAAACTTTTTCCCTAAGATATACTTTTTAAAAGGAGGGGAAAAGTCTCCGGGAAAAATCTTTCTAGAAAGATCACTAGCCTTCAAAGGCCTGTCTTTAATAACGAGTGTGATTTATTAACTATGTGACTTTGGGAAGTGTGTGACTTAACCTCTTAACCTTTGTTTTCTCAAGTATGAATTATAAAAAGTCCTATCTTAAATGATTCTTGTTAAAACATAGTGAAATACATGGCCTAAAAACCGGTTAAGTATTATGTAAATGTATCTATACTTTTTTCCAGTAAACCTTTACAATCCTTCACAATTTACTCTAATTTTACTCTAATGAATGACCAGAATGCTTTCAAAGTTCTTTAAATCCTTCCTGGTTTGATATGCCTTTATAACAAATTAGGGCTAGAAATCTGCTCTTTATCAAATGTTACCATCTTGACCTTTTGCCATAAGGAACCTTTCATAATCTGCTTCAATAGACATTTTACTTTGCTTTCAATAATTGTCAAGGCTCCTATTTTTCTCCTACCACGGAACAAAAGGAAACCAAGGTAAAGTTTAGTGAATACAACCTCAGTGATAAGGTAAATAAATTAAAAAAAAAAGCCTCCATTTCCCCCCCAGCCAGACAAGGTAACTTTTGAGAAGAATCCTGTAAGAATTTTCACTACAGGTATTGACTAGTTCCTTTACAAACCTAATTTTCTTTCTCCTGTGTTTGTCTTAGCCTATTTCACACTAGTGCTCTAATGGAGTTAGTCCAATTTTTAAAGAGTACTAAGATTATGAGAAAAATGGTTTTATATACCAAATCATCTCATTTCAATCCTCTGTGGATTTGCCCTAACGATGAACAAGTCATCTCTTGTCCCTGGATTTAACGCAAAGTACAAAAACCAATTCCATCTAATAATTAAAAAAAAAAAACATACTGAGAGCAAAGCCCAGCTTTGGAAAAGGAGGTATTTATGTTCCTGAGGATTGGCCAGAGGTTTTCAGGGACTGGTGCCGTTGGGAGATCCCACCTGGTGTGCCCCTGGGTCAGGAGGGTGGGCTTCAGCTGTTCCCAGAATTTCACTTCCACCAACTGTTGAGGTCCCACGGAGTGAACTGTCAGAACCTGGCCACACTACCTTCTCAGCTAACCAACTCTACCTGTAGCCCTCCCAGAAAACACCGGGCAAAGTGGAGGCGTTACTGTGACCACATGAAGATTCTGTGAGTGTTCTCTTTTCCTAGCTAAGCCATCTCCCTTCCCACAGGGCTCCAGGCCAATTGGAAGGTGCTCAGAGGCATTTCTAAAACCTGCCAAAATGCCAAAAGGAATCCAAAGCTTTTCAAACCCTTTCCTGAGTAAATCCTGAGTCCTGTTTTAAAGTAGGCTCCTTCAAAAACGAGTCTCAACGATTGAGAGGGGGCAGTATTTTCAAGGACTTGGCGAATAATGAGTAAAACATCTGAGTGGCCCTGATTTTTACCCTGCACAAAAAATGTTTAATATAACGTCCACTGGAACTCATGCTACCAGAAAAGCACCAGTAGATGGCATGAGTATGCAAGTTCGGTTCTTAACTGTCAGTCTGACCTGTCTTTTGGAAAGATCGTCGGGGCAGTCTCTTAGGGTCGGCTCACCCAATGAGAGAGGATTTTACTCCGCCGGGGGGGGGGGGGAGGGGGGAAGAGTTGTTGCGGGGGGCCAAAGGAAATCAGATGTGAGCACATGCTTGGAAACTATAAAGATTATAAAGATTAGGTATTGTTTCCAGTTTTTGTGATAGGTGGTTTTTTTTCTGTTTTAGTATCTAAAGCTTTAGCTTCCACAGCTTTAAGCAATAGTTTTTCAACAATTATTTTTTAATATTACCTTTTATTTTGAAAAGGGTAACCCGAGTCCTGGAAAGCTGAACGCCACAGTATGACTTTGCAGTTAGTTAACCTCCTGAAGCCTTGTTTCCTCAACTTTAAAATACGGAAAATAATTTATGGAGAATGTGTGTGAAAACTCTTTATAAGCCATACAGTATTCTAAAAATAAAATCATTCCTATAATTTGGGTGAGATTCAGCGAGTTATTTCGCATCGCCTCCAGTTGCTAGAAAGTGTGTGCGCGTTCATGTATCCATTGGGCAATGTTTGAGCACCTATTCCCTGTAAGACAATATGCTAACAGTTGGCAACACCTGGTGCCCACTTCCCGGCAGTCAGGTGAAGGACATTCGCAAAGTCCAGTAGAAATGCCCCGAGCTACTTTATCCATACTGAGTGTATCCCTGCGGTGGGAAATGAAAGGCATCCAACACAGGAGTGTAGAAGCTCGTGAAGGGCCTTCCTTCTTCCAGCAATTGATTCGTTTCTAAGTTTGAACAGACGGAACGTTCCAGATTAAATGAAAATAACAGAAATCATCTCCGTGTGATGGATTCTAAAATTGGATTAACCTTCCATTCTAAAACAAGCTTCATCTGTCTCCCTTCCAGAAGCAAATATAAATCAGCATTTCCAGGGCATGTGGCCATGAGAGAGGACAAGGCTCACACCTGGCAGCCATGCCAAGTAGAGGACATCCATAAAGGTGTAAGCCAAGGCTCAGGGCCTTCTCTGCACAAGAAACATCCCAGGTAAAGTGTTCTTTAAGTTGGAGGAGCAGGGACTGGGGGAGGGGAAAGGGGGGCTTGGGGGGGTGCTGGGGCTGTAAATTCACAGGCCCTCAGATTTAGGCATTTTCCGATGAGTGATCTCACACTCAAGTGCCTTTGGATGCTGGAGAGTTCATTAAGGGAGGCCTGTGGGCCTGTGTGAGACTGTGGAGGGTGGGGGGCTGCAGAGTGGAGAGCCAGAGCACATACCATTTCCAGACCGTCACTTTCGACTCAGATCAAGAGACAAACAGTTTATTCTCTGTGGCCTCGGGGCTCCAGCTCACATCCCTAATCTAGCGCAACCATACATTTTAAACATTTGGAAACTAAGGCCCGAAGAGGTGAAATGGCTTAAGCCGAATTCTCATTGTAAGTCCCAGAGAAACTATGTTCAGGGTGAGGTGTTTCAACACAACAGAGAGCCCAAGGGGGGAGTAGGCTAAAGGCCGGCGCATTAATGTTTTCTAAGCAGCTTTGGCAGGCCGACTGGTTAAGAGCAAGGACTTTGAACCAAAGGGCCTGTGCCTGAAGCCCAGCTCTAACACTTAACAGCTGGGTGCCCTTAGGCAGGTTATGTAGGCTTTCTGTGCCTTGACTCCCTCATCTCTAAAATGGTGGTGATAATAGTCCTAGCTTTGTGGGGCTGTTGTGAGGATAAAATGAGTTCACATGTGGAAAGGACTAGCCTTTAAGTACTATCATTCCCGTTTACAGACAAGGAAACCTATGCATTCTCAGAGGTCAAGGTCACACAGTTTTACTTAGAGATCAAAAATCTGTGCATGCACGTATGTACACAGGCAGCTGCTGGTATAGTGCCCCCCCGCCCAGCCCCCAAGACCTGATTTCAGAGCCTGGCCTCCCAGAGCCTCACATCTGCAATGACCAACTCGGGGAGAATTGCAGAAAGGAGAGGCTGGGACAGAGGCCAGAGCTGGTTAGCGGGGTGGGTTTTTCCACTTTCCGGGAGTAGGCTTCCAGAAAAGCCTAGGGGTGAAGCCGTTTCCACACGCTAGTGTTTCTCAAACTTCAGCATGCATTAGAATCAGCAGGGCTCCGACACTGGGTACTGGCTGTGCGCCAGAGTTCCTGGGTCGGCGGGTCTTGGGGGAGGCCTGAGAATTCGCATTTCTAACATTCCCAGGTGATGCTGAAGCTGCCGTTCTGGGAACTATAAGAACCCCATACATTTTTTCTAATTCTCAAAATAACCTTATGAGTTTGGCATTTTCTCCATTTGATGGTGGAGAAAAGTAAGACCGGAGAACGTGGGTGACTTCTCAATATCACACCATTTGTTAGGAGTAGAACTGGGTCTTGAATCAAGGCAGTCTGGCTCTGGATCTGAGCTTTTCCTACCGGACCATGTGGGGTGAGGTATGAGTGCTCGTTCTCCACCAGGCACCTCACTCTGGGTCAGGGGCACAAGGCCAGGGGGTCTGATGTGAGATGCGGTGTGCGGGTAGAGAAGATGTAGGAGAGGAGACTGCTCTGAAGAAGGAAAGGCCTCCCTACTGGTTCCTATCGTCTCCCCTCCCAGTTCACCAACTGCCTTACCTCCTGGGCATTCACAGCTACTAAGCGTGACCAGGTCACATCCCTGACACCCCTTTTGGTGACTCTGCACTCCCTGCTCCCTTCAAGGCCTTGTCTGCCTCTGCAGCCTAACTGCCCCAAAGCTGCAGTCACACTAAGTTTTTGTCCACCCCTGAAGGTGACCCGCGCTCTCTCTAGCTCACTGTGCTGTGCTCCGTTTTCCCTCTGAGTAGGGTACCCACCCCCATCTTTGGCTGGAACACCCCTTCTTGTCCTTGAAGACTCAGCAGCTCTGGCCACCCATCCCTCAACCTCACCAGTGGGGGTTACGTGTACTTCCTATACCTTCCCAAGGGTACCGTGCCTTATGTCTTTCATAACACTTGCATATGTTGTTGGGCAATTACGTATTTATTGATGTATTTCTCCTTCTACACTAAATATCTAGTCTAAACCAACTTTTACCTCTAAATCCTCAAGGGCTATTATAGTATGTGGTACAGGGTGGGGCGGTGGTCCCGGAACTGGGTCTGCACATTACAATCACCTGGGGATCTTTGAAAAATTCAAGCCCAGGCCACATTCCAGATCAGTAAAGTCACAGCCTCTGAAGGTGGGACATGGGGCATCAGGATGTTTTTCAAATCATCCCCAGGTGATCCAGTGTGTGGACAAGCTTGGGGAGCACTGAAGTAGAATTTCAGGGTGCAGGATGGTTGGATGGTTGGAAGGATGGTTGGATAATCAGGTTGAAGTTTGAAAAGGAGAGTACCATGCAGAGAGAGGGAGAAGAACTTTTTTTTTTAAGATTTTATTTATTTATTTGACAGAGAGAGCACAAGCAGAGGGAGTGGCAGGCAGAGGGAGAGGAAGCAGGCTCCCCGCTGAGCAGAGAGCCAGCCACATCACAACCTCAGCCTAAGGCAGACGCTCCACCACTGAGCCACCCAGGCGCCCCGGGGGGAAGAATTTTTAATAAAAATAACAGCATAAACAAAAGCCCAAAGGTAACAAAGTACACAGGACCTGCTGGAAGATCAAGCTAAAAAGGTAGCTAGCAGGCAGACTATGAAAGACCCAACTTGCCGTCCTCAGGAATTAAATTTTATGCTGTAAGTGGCTGAAAAGCCCTGGAAGAGTACAAGCAGAAGGTGAAATCAACATCTATTCTTTCAGGGGCGCCTGGGTGGCTCAATCGTTAAGCGTCTGCCTTCAGCCCTGATCATGATCCCGGGTCCTGGGATCCAGTGGGGGCTCCCTGCTCAGCCAGGAGCCTGCTTCTCCCTCTCCCTCTGCCTCTCCCCCTGCTTGTGCACACGCTCTCGCTCTCTCAAATAAGTAAATAAATAAAATCTTTTAAAAAAAAATAAACATCTGTTTTTTGGAAAACCAATTGGCAACTGTGAGCTCTTATTGGAGTAGGAAGAGGCTAGAGGCAGGAACAAAAGTGCTTTTTCTGCTTCAGCTTCCTGCCCGGGAGTGTCCTCTAGAAGGCTGCCGAACTTTTAGGAGAGGCAGCCCAAGTGAAGCTTGACTGCGGGGGCACTTGAGGCTACTGGGGTGGGGGCGGGGATCCCCCTTCTACATCTGCTAAAACTAGGACTTACATCCATGACTTTCTGCCTCCGACTCTCCTAACCTTTAAACTTGAAATGATCAGCAACACGGGTGGGTTCCGACTCCATGTCCTGGCGTGGAAGTCATCCTTGACAAATTCGAACACAAAGGCAAGCAGACATTAATTGATCAATGGCCACTAACAAAGCTGAACCTGCCAATTAAACAATCCGTTTTGTTTGATACCGTCCAGTTTTCTCTCTAGGTAGTCAATCTGTCAATCCGCTCTCTGATACTCTCACCATTAGCATCTGGATTGGGTCTCTCTGGCTCTCCCAGGAGGCTGCTCACCCTCCTGCCACCCCGTTTTACTGGAAACTAGGGTTTCCTCAGGCCAGCTTCATGCTGGAGTGTCCTTTCTACTCCCCATTCCTCCAACTAGTGATGGAGCTGGGGAAGGAGATGAGGGGGAGCTGGTGAACTAGAGTCCGAGGCCCCCACACACTTGATCTTCTGCTTCCCCAGCTAGTCATGCTGGAGCTCCCAGTCACTCGTAGAGAAGGTCCCGAGCATCTGCCTAAGAGGACTCAACGGACCCCATATACTTGGTCTGGTTTTCCTTTGCCATTTCTTGTCCCCTCTTTCTTCATCTCCTAGTTTTGTTCTCTCCTCCTTTTCTCTATTTTTTCTCCCCTCTTTTTTTAGCCCCCTACAACCACCCTTGTACACTATAAGCACATCTCTCCCATTTGTCTGCCTGTTCCCTTCCTGCCCCAGGGTTGCCACACTCAGATGTTGCCCTGACCAGGAAGAAAGTGGGGAGAGCTTGCCAAGCCCAGAAGCATCTGCAGAACTACAGCTGCCCAAAAGGGAGCAGCCTTGGGGCGCCTGGGTGGTTCAGTCATTGGGCATCTGCCTTCGGCTCAGGTCATGGTCTCAGGGTCCTGGGATCGAGTCCCGCATTGGGCTCCCTGCTCGGTGGGAGGCCTGCTTCTCCCTCTCCCACTCCCCCTGCTTGTGTTCCCTCTCTCTGTCAAATAAATAAATAAATAAATCTTTAAAAAAAAAAAAAGGGAGCAGCCTTTCTGATAGGCACATAGGCCCTAGATGGGCTAGTTACCCTGTTCTTCGTGTTCTTCTCTCCTTTCTGTGTCCCTCTCCCCCATTCCAGAGCAATGCAGTGGGCTGGAAAGAGCATGGGCTCTGGAGTCAGGCCTCTATTCAAACCCTGGCTCTGCCATTTGCTGATTCAGTAACCTTGACCATGTTATTTGAGCTCTCTGTGCCCACCTGCTTGGTTGTTGGCTCTAAATGCCTAGGGAGGCATTCCAGCATAGTGAACACAGACCAAAGTCTCAAATGCTCAATCAACCACTTATTGGCTGTGTGACCTCGGTACCTAACCTCCCCAAGCCCTAATTTCCTCCTCTCTCCAATGGGTAACAGAAGGACCAAACTTGTCAGGTTGTGGTGAAGATTAATGAGCTAATTCAGGGAAGGTACTTAGCATGAAATAATTGCCACTGTATGCTATGGATGTTGTTGTTATATATTATTTATACACTGCCTAGCGCATGGTGGGTACTTATTGTAGCCAGCTTCCAAGATGGTCCCCAGGGAGCCTCACCATCTGGAATGCATGTCCTTGTGTAGTTTCCCCCTACACCGAATCACAAATCACAGCGCGTGTGAATTAGCGTGAATACAGTGCAAGTGACTGCATGCCTTGCAAGGCCAAGTCCGAAAAGCCATTGCAGCTCCCACTTTAGCTTCTTGAATCATTTGCTCTGGGGGAAGTCAGCTGCCATGCCATGACGTTGTGCAAACAATAGACCCCTGTGGAGAGGTGCTGAGGTCTCCTGCCAACAGCTAGCGCCACCTTGCCA